ACTTTTATTAAAAAAAAAAAAAAAAAAAACACTCTACTTTGCCTTTTAAGGTCAGCAAAAAGTTCAAGGTGGCATAATAAGACGTGATGTACTGCTGTAATTCAGTACGTCTCTAGGCAAACAGGTCCATCATAGCTCAATAAAATGCAATCCATTAAAGATCTGAGTAAAATGACTTTTTATCCAGATGTCATCGCTGAAATGGTGATGGCTGAGAGAAAGACAAGTGGCATAATTTACAGGCCATTTTATGTTTGACGTTGCTGTAATTCTTACAGTTTACTGAAAGATTTTGTTCATGACAAGGGAAGTGTCATATCCATGTCTTTAGAAAACTCCTGAGGAAACACATAACGGGAATTCAATGTTGTTGGCTTGATGACCGCACGAGGCGATTCAGACCGGTTTCACAATCGGACATCGCTAATCCCCAGAGGCCGCACAAATCAGTCAGTGGCCCTGGTGTCGCGCTCGTTACGATGAGATTCCCGTTCATGTCGCACGTTCACAATACCACACATTGAGTGAAACAGATAAGATTCAGTCAGGATCCAGAGTAAAGCTTTTAAAATTTAAACTGTGATTTTTTTTCTCTTTAAGATCTTAAAGGGTTAGTTCACCCAAAAATTCTGTCATCAATTACTCACCCTCATGTCGTTCCAAACCCGTAAATCTGTAAAATAATCCATGTGACATCAGCGGTTCAACCGCAATTATAGGAAGCTATGAGAATATTTTTTTGTGCGCAAAAGAAAAATAAAACTTTATTGAACAATTCGTCTCCTCCGTGTCACCCTGTAGTGCCATTTTGGAGAGTATACGCTGGACGTAACATTTCAGTTGCGTTGCTGTCTATGCAGGGTCAGACAGCTCTCAGATTCCATCAAAAATATCTTAATTTGTGTTCCGAAGATGAACGAAGGTCTTACGGGTTTGGAACGACATGAGGGTGAGTAATTAATGACAGAATTTTCATTTTTGGGTGAACTAACCCTTTAAGTTAGGGAAATCTCACACAGCAAGTGCCATAAACCATATTAATATAAGGTGCAGATGAAAAAACACGCCAGAACCCCTTTCTTTAGCTTACCTCTGAGCAGAATTACAATGAAATGCAGAGTATGGAGACGCAACATGTTTGTTCTCGACCTGTGAGAAACTTCAGTCTTACTGGATGGCACGGAACGGCAATGAAAGTGAAAAGGGATCCCTTTGCGCGCGGAGAGATGATCACAAAATTGCGCAATTAAGTTCCAGCATCGCTCTCGGAGGATATCCCGAAGCATTCATCATAATGTTCTTCAGTTCACACCGGGGTCGGTTTACTTTACTTCAGGTCAAAAAGGCTTGAGAGTCCGAACATCCGGTGACGCATTATATGGGATGTATAGGCGGTCAAGATCCTGAAGGATGCCGCTGTCTCCTCGTTACGCGACAGATCCTTCACAAATATTGTGCTTTTCTCACATCCGAAGTATGTTCCCATGCGTCGCTGTATCCAACTGCTCGGTCTGCGGTATTTTTGGTGTTAGGTAGCAGCGAGTGAATTTAATTTCCGTTCCTTGGCTACTTTTGTCTTTCTAGTGAAGTCTGGCGGGTTGGGTGGCGTTGCTGTGGGATTTTTCCTCCTGATGCGTGATGCGTAAGGCAGGATCCGTGTTTCCTCCGCATCCGCTCTCACATCCTCTAATGCGGAATTATCCTGCACATCCTAAAAGTTCCTCAAGCGCACGATTGCACCATTTGCGCTTTCCATATCTTGGGTGTCGCTTGGAATAGCCTAACCTGCAGAGATGAAGAATAATACTTGGCTGGTTTCCTTCCTCAGGAGATGATGCCAAGAACGCTTTCCATATCTTGGGTGTCGCTTGGAATAGCCTAACCTGCAGAGATGAAAAATAATACTTGGCTGGTTTCCTTCCTCAGGAGATGATGCCAAGAAAAAAAGACAACAAGCTTCTTCTGATATTCAGGAACACCTAAGAGAAAACAAATACCATCAGCAAACCGTGTGCTTAAAAATAAGTGCATGTGGGTTTGAAGAGGTTTTTCTGCGCCAACCTCTCCTCTCCACTCTAGCGCAGACACTGGCAAGTCCAAACTGAGGTGCAGGGTTAAATCATCACCTGAGGCACCAACATTAACATCAAGGGCTCCCCGCAGACTTCTGTGCAAATAAGTTTTCCCTGAACATGACAGTAGCTATCATAACACATTTCAGATTCTTCATAGATTGCAAAACGTATGCGTTTACTAGAGCAGTCGAAATAATTTTGCCCTTAGACATAAAAAGTTGGAGACACAAATGGAAAAAAGTTCTTGGTAGTTTATGGATGTCTGTTTTCCCAAGTATTTAAGTAAGTAAACATTAATGTGGCATGGCAGAAGTTCATTTACACGGTTTTGACGATAATTATAAGTGACAATAAATATGGTCATTTATAATCTAATTTTAATCACTGTAAAGCAACAGCGACTCCTTGTGGGCACAAAGTGCATATACGCGTGTGGGTGAGGTTTTATTTATATTTAGGAGAGCACATGTCCATTGAAAAATAGTCAAATCTAAAATGACCTAAATGTGGAGACCAGCCAACAGTCTGTGAGGAAAATGGCTTAATAAACCTAATAAATGTCTTAATGAAAACCTAAAAGTGCAAAAATGTAAGTGTGAGGGTTAGATGCAGGAGTTATGGTGACTAAAATATCATTCATTCTGTATAAAAACAATGGAAGTCGATGGAAAGTCCACACCACCATAGAAAAACAAAAGTGTGTGTATGCAAAACTGTAAAAATAAGTTGTAAATAAAACAAAGATTACTGCAGTGTGCTTAAAAATACAATTTCAGTCCTAATTTAAAATTTTGCATTGCTTGCAGTTTCTTTGTCATTAGTTTTGAAATGTTCTAAGTGAAAATTGTTTCTACACCAATTCTTTTTTTTTTTTTTGTACAGAAGGAGACAAGGACACAATTGTGACAGACGATCTGAACAGATGACACGCTTATATGTGTAGTTCATTCTGGAGCGAGCTGCTTACATTTATTCTCTAATGTCTAATTCTGAAACTAATTTTGCATTATGGAAGTCAATGTGTTGTGTGCTACTGTCGTGCCAACAAGAATTTACAAGGATTGATCAGTTTCATATGCGATGAATATAAGGTTTAGGCTTGGTAGGCCATTGCAGAATGTTTTTGTACTTATTTTGCAATTCAAGACAGGTTTTATCAGATTCATTGGGTTTATTATAAAAAGCATCCATCAGTGCTGTCAGACAAAACTGTGGAATACTGAGTTAATGTTCATGCATCAATCAATCAACTCCTCCGCACTGCAGCTTCAGTACAATGCGGTTACAAAATTATAGGACATTATACAAAATTCCTCTTTTTTCACATCTTTAAATCATACAGTTTCTAGTAAATAGATGCTTCTACAATAACAGATGTGTAAAGGTTCGGTTCCTAGACACTGATCACAAGAGGTATCTGAAATAGACATACATAAGAGATGATTGCCTCTGAAAGGAAGAGAAAGAGTAACCATTGCATCTTCAACAAGCTACTCAACAGATGTGCAACACTCCTTTAGCTGCCACTTCGCCATTTGTCATAAACCTTCTTGAAAAGAAAGCAGCACAGAAATATACAGAGCTGACAAGATACCCCACTTTCCTGCCATCACAGCATCATCACGTCCTTTGAGAACCCTTGAACGCAGGCTAAACGTGGGCTCACACACATTGAGATCAGATTGCATCTATACGCATGTCTATCTTATGCTTAATTAAGTTAGCGAGCATCGCACTTGAATACTAATGAGAATGCTCTCCCACATTACTGAATGATAGAAAAGAAAGCTGGCAGTCGGCCCAGTTAGAAAAGAGAGAGGAGAAAAAAAAAACATTGAATACAAAATGCAATTATAATCAGCTGCTTCATCTACAATCAGGCTTTCATGTAAGTCTTTTGTGCCTCCATTTGTTGATGAGGGCCTTTGATGTCTCGCGACTCGCAAAACAGATGAGAGGCGGGAAAAGGGGATTGGGGATCAGCAGGTTGGGTTAAATGAACAGCGGTGTTATTTACTAAATAGCGTGCTGCAGGATCCCTCGAAACAGAAATATTTTATGCTAAAGTCGCCTTGACTTCATTAGAGCTGAAATGAACAGACGTCTGAAGTGTGACTGCACTGAAAATAGTCTAACCTGCTTTAAGCTGGTCTTGGTTGGTTTATGTTAGTCTTCCAGTCTGGCCAAGATGGTCTTAGCTGGGTTAAGATGGTCTAAAAAGCCTGACCAGCTGTAAAGTTCCCAAAAACCCCTCTGAAACCAGCCAGCAGATGAGACCGACCAGGCTGGGAGACCAGCTTAGACCATCAAACAAGCTTTTGTCACTAGGTTATCTGCATTAGTTAACATGAACTAACAATGAAAAAATACTTTAAAAATAATTTATTAATCTTTCATTTGTCAACATTTACAGAATGCATTAACTAACATTAATGCATGGGACCTTATTGTAAAATGCTATCACAAAGGGATATAAAATAGCTATAAAGTGGCTCCAAAACATTTTACAAATGTATGAATTCTTAAAATGAATGAATGTCATTCTATTAACAACAAATGATGTTTGTTAAAAAGATAACAACTGTTGGGGTCCAAACAACATTGGGCACAACTGACTTTCATTGTATGGCCCAAAAACACTGGACTAAATGGAAAATATCTTCTTTTGTGTTCAACACAATAAACTCATACAGGTTTAGAATGATATGAGGGTAAGTAAATGATCATTTATATCATTTATCTATCCATAATTATTAAAAAATGTTTATGAAATGTGTTCCTTGAAAAGTGCTATCTTTGATTAAAATAAATGCCACATGTGGTGATATCATAGTCATTGCAATTATATTCATAGATTGATACATGTGGCTTAAGTATTCACTTACTTTTTGAGACCGCTGTATGTTGAAAAGCAGTATCTTTACAGAATTTATAATCGTTTTAAAATGAAGTTTTTCTAACAATGTGTTTACACAGACTTTTGGACCCGTTTTGCCTCCGTAGTTCTTCCTGTGTTTCCTTTTATGGTCTTTTTCCTGTTCTTGTTTAGTTTGATTACTTTATGATTCCATGAACCTGTGTTCCCCTGATTGCCCTGAGTTTATAAGCCCCAGTCTCTTCAGTTTGACTTTGGTTTTGTCGGGTCTACTCGTTGTGAACGTCATCCTTGTGCTCTGTGTTTCCCTATTGAATCATTAAAGACTCTCATTTTTGTGAAATATCCTTGTTTCCTCGTTCCCGTGCTCCAGCGTATTGTGACAGCAATAGACTACAATGGAAATAGAACTCACAGTGAACTTAAAAACACATTTTAACCAATTTCAAGAATTATTTAGACGGAAATGGAGAACAAAAAAATAAATGCACTCACTCCAACACAGTAATAGGATTTGAAATGGATTTTGCTATTATTTCACACTTTTGGCAAAAGGTAAATACACAAAGGCTTGAGCACACAGGAGGCCTGCTCTATAAAAAATAAGAGCTTAAATGTTCACTGAAATGCACATGCACACATACAAACACACAAACGCTGTTGTATCCTGCTGAGAATGCTGGGAGTCAGAGATTAAGTTCTCTTCAGATGAGGCATTATTCTGCCATCATCCATTCAAACTTGAGTCACTGTCATGAGTTGTCTAAAGACAATTATAAATCCCTATTGATTGCATTCTATTCCCCCTAGAGCCATCTAAATGACTGATATTCACTCTACCTGCTTTCCTCACGTCTAGATCACTTTTCCACTACCACTTATTCTCAAATCCACCTAATGTACTGTTCTGTCTTCATAAGCGAGCTATTATATATATGAACTGTGGAGGTCAGAGTGCATGCGTTCATGGGTCTCAGATCGGCTGGTAAGCTCATCAGATTGTTAGTGGTAAGGGAATACGGCATGAGAACAGAGCAGAGGCCTTTTCTTCAGGCTGTCAGTCAGAGCATGTTGTGCCAGACTAGAAACAGCAAGGTTTAAAAGATTCCCGGTAGTCCAGAAAGCTGAAAGCTGAGGTACAGAGCAACATTAGTTGTTTATGAGGCAATGTAGGCAACACCTGGAGATGCACATGTAGTATTCATATTTTATATTTCTATGTGTGTATATTTTTCTATATTTTTAATATAAAATAATATATATTATATAATATATAATGATTATATATATGATTATATTTATATTAAAAATAGAAAACTATACACACATAGGAATTAGTGATTAAAATAATCTGTTAAAAAACTAAACTGTAACTAAAACTAAAAAGAAATGCAAAGAAAACTGTATCAATAAAAACTATTTTCAATTCAGTATGCTGGGGAAAGTAGAACTGCTTGAATGAGATCTGCCAAACTTATAATAATGACATAAGCTCACAAGCACACCAGAGATCGGACCTCTGCTTCTAGAGTTACACGGGCCCTAGGTGTGGGTCTCCCCACAAGACCCCTTCCAGACAGCTGCTGAAGATATTAACTCTATTCTGTTACGACAGAGCCCCTTTTGTTCTGTGTGTGAACATGTTTTTGACATTTACATTGGCAGCTCTGGAGTGTCTGGACTGTATTTTGGACCATATTGAGGAAAACTGAGAGGTGAAGTTTGCTGGAGGTGCAGTACACATGAGCTTTTTATCAAACGCAGTGTCATTTGTCACTGACGGCAGTTTGGCTGCATGTTCAGCTCTCTGGCAGAACATAGAAGAATTGATGGTGTTTTGCAGTGCTTAGATTCATGT